CATGAGTACCATAACATTCTGTGTCGTACTAGATGAGCTCTCCATACACTCTGTATTATCAATGTTGCATGAACTTTAGTTTGATAATATCTCCTTATCGGCCATACTAACATACGCCAAGTCCAACTCTTAGCATATGCCCGTCTAGTATAAGCGTTCCGCATTGCCCCTTGTATTAATCGTGCTGCTTTATCCTTTTCCCTATTCTCCCTTCTACATTGAAATCTAACCCTAGATAATACAGCCCGTCCATAAGACTGTAATATAGATGATGCATTCATGAGGTGTAGATTCTTACATCTCCTCTCATATATTAGCATACCCAATAGATTTCTAGCAGCAGTCTGTAACTGCATAGCAGCAGCCCTTGCTACAAGGAACATATAGACCTTCCTTTGTAGTAATGCTACTGTAATAAGGCCCCGTCTAAGCTGTATCCTCTGCATCTCGGTACGTCGTATAAGATAAGATCTCAACATAGACTGTATCAATATTAACCTACCATTTCGTATAGTATACTTCTCAACAGCTATCTTCTGATTCATAGTTTTACGTATAGTGAGGGCTATAGGTTTTAGGATATCCGATAATACCCAATTAAGGGACTTTTCCAATAGCATATGGCATTCCTTACGGGCCAATACCATGGTCTTACCTATTACAGCTCCTTCACCACTTCTACCACCGAGGAACTTCTTCAAGAACACACTACACTCCTCTTGTTTATCATTATCATTAGAACCATCAGCCATCAATAATGCCATATCACCTTCTGTAGTGTATGTATGACTGTTATCTTTAAGAAAGCTCAATGGATGGTATCGATATAGGAATTGACGGAATGGTAAACGAAAGCAATAACCACAACTTGACATCTTAATAGCATGGAATACCGATAAACTATGTAGTTGCCGCATAACACTACGATTGCTATATAGTCTTGGCTTCTTTTGAGGGTTAGGCTTAACACATCGTACAAAGAAGGCCTCTGTAGGGTCAACCATAGTCATCAATGAGTCTATTGATTGTACAAACTTCTGTGCTATATAGGATCGTCTACTCCCTCCTACTCCTACTCCTTGACCCTCTGATGATGATGTAGTTAGTGATGTAACTGTAACTGCTTCCTTTAGTACACCATTAGTTGTATGAGATATAAGGGTATGTAGATCATCATTCAAACGGTCCATATTCTTATCTCTAAATCCGTTTATATTATATACTACACTACCAGCTGTATGATGTATAATAAATATATCAGCGGGATTATCCTTCTTAGATACCGTCCCTTTAGCCTTCTGTTGTTGTTGTTGCATTATACCAGTAGTAAACAGTTGTAGAGGATAGTTGGCCTTACTAAAGGCATTCATAATGGATTGGTCAGTACCCGTCTGATAATAATAATAATACCAACTCTACTACTACAACAACTACTAGTAGTACTATGATCCCTACCTGTAAGAGGCATGCACTCTCGATGTGGCTTATACATCCATAGCTAGGGCCTTGTAATACCCTTAATAGTGGCTCTACAGGTGCATAATTGATAACCTCCGAGGCCAGACTATCACCCGATAGTCCCTCTGCATCGTACACCTACTGTAGATAGTATGGTGGTCATAGTGATGATGATATAATCCATACACGGAGTTAATACCTTCTTCTCTAGTTCAAATACTCTTTGAGTAAAGCATAGTTGTAGCCTCTCATTAGCGAAGTTAACAAGGAATTGCTCTAGGGAGTTACGATGCTCGAATGATTCAAAACCGAATATGTCCAATACACTTACCCACCTAGTAAGGAATAATAGATGCCACAGTCTGTGACCACAAGCATTACCTCAATGCATGCTCGTACTCTTGCATAGTATCCTTATGAGGTGATATGCTACTGTTGATGTTATAGATAAGCCATTCGAATACAATAGAATAGCAATGACGACTAATACTAGCTAGATTATCACTACACTGTTGTGGTGATACCGGTGATAGTACTACCTACATTATCATAACCACCACTGTCACTCCTCGAGCTAACCCTTACATTATTGCCAGGTAGACGCCTAGTCTGTACAGTTAAAGCCTTCAGGAAATCCTCAAAAGGAAGCCCTAGTAATTCGGCTATGAGGATGAATCGATTCTCATCAGAGGGCATACAAGGGTCTGATAGATAAGGGAGCATTAATGATGATGATGATGCTGTACCCTCCTCCAACTCCTCCTCACTTGATTCGTTATCCTTACTGGTATGATCATGTGCCTGCTGCCATTCTATCTGACCACTGTGCAGTATAGCCGCTAATACTCGACATATGTCAAGCCCTAGAAGAGAGATGATATGAAGGCAATAGTAGTAGTAGTAGTAGTAGTAGTAGTAGTAGTATTAGTAGTAGTAGTAGTAGTAGGAGGACTTACTCTTAGTATCATGTATACCAAGAGTTATCATTGCATTCATAGTAACTTGGTACTCACCACCATCATCTATTCCTGGTATTATTGGTAATATACCATTCAATACTCTAACAGCATATGATCATACAGTGATGATGATGATGGGTCTTAGGAATATACTACTTATATGATTCCTTCTGAGGATTTAAGCCAAGCCGTCCTAATATCTCGGAACCACCACCACGTAGTAGTTGGTAGAATATGTGATAGTTACGCTCACCTAGTAATAGTAGGTAGTATCCGGATGCGTGTTATCATTATTACCCTCTTCATGTAAGCATATCCTACTCTTCTCTAATAGGAAGGATAATACCTGTCCTCCTGCCACAACTGGATGTTCTTGAGTCGGATGAGATGGTAGCGATGATGAGGGACGGGATAAGTATAGTTTCACGAGTTTGCCTGTTGTGTTGTTATTATAGAGTAATGATGATGGAGTAGTATAGTACCAAATCGACTAGAATTATCATTCCTAGAGGTCTTAGCATTGCCAAATGCCTCTAGTATAGGGTTGAAGGCCATAAGAGCATTACATAGTGATGAGGAATCCTCTTCAAGCGAGGTAGTAGTAGTAGTAGCACTACCAGGCTGCTCTGTGAAGAACTTCATTAGATGCTTACAAGTCTGATAGTTAAGAGGTGAGTAGTATCATCCTTCCTTGGATAACATACCTCAGTCTTGCCAGCACCACTCTCCCCACTTACAAGGATCGATACATTACCATTACATGCCTCCAATACCCCATTCACCATGTGTGATTCGACGTGGGACGATGATGATGATAATCCTCCTCCACTACCACCTATGCAAGCCAACTATTGATATCCATCACTATGATAATACTGGTCTACTATCATCATGGTCCCCTTGCTGAGGTATAAGGCCAGCACCAATGTAATGAGCTGTTAAGGCTTGTGCAGCAATACGGAAGATATGCGGAGGAGCCTAGAGGATATGGTGGTCAGTGGTTATGATGATGATAATGACCTCTTCTATCTGCTTATCATCAGGTACCATACTCCTGTAATACTGAGCTATATCAGATGTTGTATTATTGAGATCACGAAATGGATTAACAGCTATGAGCATAGGCCTAGCAGCTGTGTATCTAGTAGCGATAACAACAAGAAGAATAATAATAGCAGTGATGTAGGGCTATATAATGATCTCACATTAGATCAGCCAAATATCTCCTCTTAATAACATCATTAACTATAGGTTCGTTGACTAATGGTAAATGGGATATATCATTAACGGCCTCTATCTCTATACTGTTATTATTATCACCACCATTAGCATGATATAACCTATAATGCTCCTTATCCAAACTCCTTACTACTGGAGTCCTACTGTGATACACCAACCATACGTTCACGATTAGTAGTAGACGATGATGTTGATGATGACTTTATAAGTATCTTTAGCTCACCACGGAAAGGTTGTGGTATGGTTACTACCTATACTGTATACTTGGTTTACAATGACTATATTGTTATTATTACCTTGGCTAGTTCGAACATAAGCTCATCATCACGTGTAACCCATACATCATCCCCTACTTTATAGTTACCATTCTCTCCCTCCCACAATGATGGTCTCCTCTTCCTCCTCCTACTATTATCTTCTGGGGTATCCTCCATTATAATACCCACTACTACTACTGACTGTAATTCCTTATACATCAACACAACAACCACACACGAGCAGCAGCAGCAGCACTATACATACAAAAGGCTATAAACATACTGTAGACTACCTAGACTACTACTACTATTATTAATAGCCAGAGGATGCTGCTATAACAAGGTCATGGAAGATAGAGGATGATGATGACGATAGTGGTAGTGGGCGATAATGGCGACGAGGGTAAACGATAAAGCAACTAATGTTGTTGTTGTTGTTGTTGCTGTAGGGTTATAATAATGTGACAACATATAATAATACAGCATATCGGGCTAATACCATAACTACAACTAAACGGTGGGTACCAAGTAGATAATATAAAGATTACTATAATCATCATCATCGGTGGTGGTGTTGGTGATGGTGCTTAGCCGCCTTACTCCTAACGACCCATTCCATCCTCCATTGACCCTCTATAAAGGTATCATCATCATCGGTAGTAGTATGATGAATATCAACCACCTTATGTATCTTCCTAAAACCATTCTTCTTGTAAAATCTAATTGCCTTAGGTAAACTAGAGCATACGACCTTATCTACGGGACATTTGTCGGACTTAGCCATATCCTTCAATAAGCGGATCTGAATAGCAGTAATCAACAATAATGAGTAGTGATACTAGTTATTATTATTATTACCGCAACCCCTCCAACTCCCATTCCTCTATATGATGGTACTACTGCCATCTGACCAATATGCATCTCCCTCTTACTACCATCGATACGATACACCATAAACGCTGCTAACATGCTCATATGGATAGTGTCGTGGAGAGCCTTTATATCATCACTAGTGGTTACTTGAGATGGTAGTATAGCAATGGATAGGCGCCATCCATTACGAGGTATAATCTATATACAACTAGTTAAGTAATTATTGATACTAGTATTACCTTCTCCTCCATCACATTATCCCCCTCGAATTCTACATCACATAATGCAGCGATATCTTTGATAATGCGAGCCATGTCGACATTACGACGTACTTCGGCAGAATTAACCTTCACATTATGAAACCATTGTAGCTCATTTTTAATGGTAGGAGGGACAGTAATGGAGGTAATGGCCATGAGGGAGATGATCCACGAGGAGGAAGAGGAGAAGGAGGAGGCGGAGCGAAACGCTGAAGATATTACATGATACCCTATGAATAACAAGACAAAAGGTAAACCAGAAAGCGTGGATCCCAGCAGAGCAGAGGCAAGTCATAGTATTGAAGCCGATCAATATGTAGAGTGATGGGAGAGATAGCGGTAGTTAGATGGAAGTTAAATGAAAACATGCAGGTCATGAACGTAGCCTCTCTGGAGTATACCTCCTACGACTACAAAGGTACACCAATGGTGTAACACCATACATACTACTACAATTTGATGAGCTCTAAACAATAGTCTAATACAACGACGACAACAGCCATTGTCGAGTAGTGGTTGTATGGCTGTCACCGCCTGCTCTAGAGACCGACCATACCATCAATGGATCGATCTCCCTTAACATCACATATACCTAAAACCACATTACTGGATTACATACTATCATAATTAGCACTCGATGAATGGAAACTATCGATAATAACAAATAGCGCCGATTAATGATGAGATATGACAAGATTGCAAGATATGATAGTATGATACCGTTCTGCATGATGATGATTGATTGAGCTGAACTCGACAGTATGAGTAGAAACAAGGTGATCATTGTTTGAGTAGTTCCATCACTAGCCATTGTTTGATTACTCCTGCCTCCTCAAACTTGAACTTCCTTAATCCACTTCCACTACCCGGAGAGAGTCTCTTCCCAGTGTCATTAGCCATCCATCGTTTGTGTATACCCTTTACATGGTTCTCTCCAACCACTGCTATTACTCTATTATGTTTACATGCCAATCTCCATAGTGCACGATACATATACTCATCACGCATATCAATAACAACCTCCTGTAATCGTTTATCGATCTTATATTTATCACACAGTTGGATGTATCCCATAGGATCAAGAGTACTATCTTGTAAGTAGCTAGACCTCTCCTTAGAAGGGGGATACTTCTTTTCAATAGCATCTCTAATATCATCGACCGTACTAGCTGTTGCCATCATCGATCTTATTATCTTCATAACTGGTGTAGGAACTCTCCATCGCATAATCCATTCATCTACCACAGGCATTCGCTCTACAGTAGGGTAATAGAGTATCCGCCATAGCAAGACCCTCTCAGCTAATGGTGACAACAATCGCCTCATTATAACGTACCAAGCTACTCGTATAATACCAACAAGAGGCATATCACGGAATACCTCCTTAGCGGCCTCCCCTGGTGATACATCCAATGCATGCAGTTGAGTAGTTGGGTTATCCTTACTAAACTGCCATAAGGCTTTGATGTCCTTACTTTTAACGAACTTCATCCTATTAATACGACCATAGCATAACTCTAATCCCAATGCTAATGGCTCCTTCTCCTTCGAGTCCCCTTGCAATTCCCTTAATGCCTGAGCGGCAAGAGTCGAGTCATGACTCGAGCCAATAAGGTATACTTCTGCAGTAGGGTGGGGTAGTCTACTCACAGGAGGAAGAAGAAGGGACACTGAACTCATGATCATCGATCTATGGCTCAATCTTGCTAACATTATAATCATAAAACTAAGGAATATTCCACCCCAATTCCTTCCACTATGAACACTGTACTGCTGGCTAGTGAGTAGAATAGAGACTGACCTAGCATGGCACCATTACTCATGCTATTAATACCATAGGGTGGTAAGGTCGGTAGTAGCTATCCTCATCCACCTTCATACAACTAACTCTTACCGATATATGCACACTACTTGTTACATCTAAATCTCAGTATCCCAGGATCTGCGATCCCTTTCCAACTAGTTCATCAATCCTCTACCCATCACCGATACCACAGAGCCCATCATGTCAACACATTCCCTCCAGACACCCTTCTCCTCCTTCCTCTCCTCCTTCCCATCATCATATATTTGATCCTTCAATTGAGACACAGTCATCATCAAGTAGCCTAATAATAAGCCTACTGTTCACCATTCGGGGGGATGCTCCCTGAGTACGTCACTACAGCCTCCTTATTACGTGCTTTACCTCCCCTACAAGGCCTCTTCCTCCGTGCAGTAGTAGTAGCAAGCAAGGCGTAGACAGTGGCTTGTAAGGCTGACGGTTGGGAAATACCTAGTACTGGAGCCTCCTGGTATACCGCGATGGGAGGACGCAGGAAGTACTACTACTTCACCTGCACTGCTGAATGATGGTATGAAGAATGATTGCATACGTCGTAGGATACGTAAGAGTGAGCAACAAGTGATACCATCAGATTGCTGCAACATGGTCCTTCCTAATGCATCATATACTACATGTAGCCCTACACCGGTGATCATGCTACTACTACTACCTTGATCCATCGTAATCAGTGATGGTGACGTTGACGGTGTGAAGGACGAGGATGATGTTGTTGTTGTTGGTCGTCAGGTGATGCTGCTGTTGCTGCTATTGGTGGTAAATTAGACTCATGGACCCAAATGAACAAGCATCGAGGCGTATGATAATCCTACACTAAACTCTACTACAAGCTTAATTGAGGGACCTACTATTAGCTTTGGAATATGCCTTCATACCACGCTTATCATCCTTTCTGATAAATCCTATATGTTAATAAGCCACAGCTATATTACCGAATATTCAATATCTTACAGCTAGTAGCCTCGCAACCTCAATAACGATCACTTGTGCTGAGCTCAAGTTGAAGATAGTGTTCTTGGTAGTGTTATCACAAGACTCGATATATCTCTTCATGTTGTTGAGGAAGGCGTATAGGTACTCAACAGTAGCCTACTTCCCACCAAAAACTACTACCTCACCCATCCAGCATTGCATCAAGACACCCTCATAGGGTGTGATCCTCTCCTCGAGTGCCTCGAGACTCTGAGCTTGTCTTGCCTGATGTTAACGTTGGCCCTGAGAGGGCATAGAGACAGCGGGTTAGAAAAGTAGTAATCTTCCCAGCAATCCCAATAGGTGGATACCATAGAATCAAATAAGAACCACCTAGTACTCGACAAAGACATAGAAGGTCGATAATACCGAGAAGGTCGAGTTGATTGTAGAGTGGTATCACGATTTGGGTAGGTCCTACTGCCCACATGGGTTGGGGTGCTCATATGAGACTAATGAAACCCCAGTCCTGCTACACATGGCTTACTATGTCAACACCCCTCATGAGTAGCATATACCATTCAGCCTTGATGATATTATACTCGCCAACAAGGAGAGGGTCTCATGAGCACACGCATGGTTACGCCCCCCCACCTTTATCAAGTCTTTTCCCTCCTTCCAAATATTCTCTTCCTAGCTCCCCAACTTGTGAGGTACCAGGTCCAACGAAGGTTTGGCTCACTGAGGGGTGATGAACCTCAGTGTCACTACACGAGTGTATGTCATTCCCCCTGTACACCCATAGACAGTAATTACAACAAGGAGTACTATGTAGTCTCAAGGACTCAACATCCTACATTTAATGGTGACGAAGACTAGTGTCTGTTTGAAAAATAAGCATCTTCTAATGACGATCGAATAACTCTGTTGTAATAACTGTCAATTCGCGCTGTGAAAGGAATACACCATAATGTAGAATTGTGAGATTAAGTAGTAGAGATCCTGCGAGAAGTTAATACATTGACCCTGAGCTCGTCAATCACTGACAGCAGATACCCGCATTCCTATATCTACAAGCATGAAGGATTGATTGATTAACGGATGGCTTTTAGACGTAACGCCCAGGTCAGACCCGTGTGAACAGGCATCATTCACTTGGAAGAGATTGACATATTTCAAATTGAATAGCAATGTTGCTGATGTCACTGAGTTGAGTATCCTTGAAGCTAAACCAGCATCCAGCATATGGAGGGAAGACTGTTAATCATACTGCCAGTGGGCTTGGATAGGGAGGGATAGCCTATCAGCCTATCGTTTAATAAAGGCCGTCGTATTAATGCTCCTGGATTATCTGCTCACTTTTGGGTAGACCATGGTGACAGTTGCCGCCATCAATTCGATAGCATGTGAGACTGGGCTCCCAGCTAGGATCAGAACACATACCCTCTAGAATGAGGACATGAACACCTAACAGATTAAGCCTAAATAAAAAAAGGTCACAACAGCAGTACCCTACCTCCGTCCGCCTTAGACATTTTCTTACCATCACCGACAGTCATACCTCTCAGGGCCTTACACGAACCATCAGAATCGTATGATGAGCAACTTGAGATTTCTCATCAATTCCCAGATATCCTTATTCTCACAGACAGCGTTATTCGGAGAGTAGTGACCAACTCTTGAGGGTAACAGTTTGCCCAAGTTATCATCTCCTTCATAACACCTTCAAGTTTATGGGTGATTTAGAGATCCGCATGACGAGAATAATTATACCCTTATTGGTACAGACAGATGGAAGGCTTTAACGCCACAGTTGAGCTGTTCTGCTCATCCTGAGTTCCCATAAGGGGAGATATGTAACCAGTAGCAGAATTGTGTGATCTGAGATGTAGATTAGTCAAGATAATACTACTAAACATAGGGAACTGGTTGAAGAGTATACCATCTACTGATAACAACAAAGAGGATCCTTGTCGCCAGGTGTTAATGAGCGTAGTTGATGGGGTTCATCATGGAAGGCAATAACTGACGTCTTGATGTAGTAGTCATGGAGTATATGATGCTGTAAAGATAAAGCAGGTTATATAATGACGCAACAGTATAGAGGATAATATCATAGAGCATGCATAGCAAGAGCTGTTAGCCAGCAATAAGGCTGTTGGCATTGTCTCCTATGGCATGCCTGATGATGGAGGACTGCGGGAAGGAGGGTATGCTTTAGGTACTGTGTAATATCTTTCAATCCCAACTAGTCCATTTAATGTAGCTTCATTAAAACCAAAGATGCCACCACTATGGCATCCACATCCCCCTCCACCAGTAGGTATTACAAACACGGCTGGGCCTGTGTTAGAGTAGTGTAGACAACTAACATCATCAGCTGACTACCCTCATGACCATTATCATGATGATGACGATGATGATGTCGACGATGCCGCCGATGCCGACGATGCCGGAATCGAAAGAACGCTGTGGTCTCGTCGTGACCAGAGGGATCGTGATGATCATGATGATGTAACATTTTCAATCAATCTAAGGTCACCGACGATTATGCGCTGGTGTAAGCCGCGTAAGAAAATCCGTAATCGGCATACTTGACTCACTTCTCGCAGCGATTATGTCAAGGGTTAATTCATTGTTGTTTCAAGTAGCTGCTGTTATCAATAGTAGTATGCCAACTACTGTAGTAACACCTTCCGTGGCGACATCATCAACACCCTCATCTGGTGGAGGTATTAGGAGTAATACTACTACTGGTGCTGCTCCACCACGGGTACCACCAAGTCGAACGCAGCCTGATATGAATAGGGAGAGGATGATGTTTATGTGGTTATCATTAGTTGGCAAGACTGTTGAAGTTAAGATGCGAAATCAGACTATTTATGAAGGGATATTATCGGGGGTGAAGCCAGAGAAGGATTTTGATATAGCTCTTAAGTATGCAAGAGAACTCCCAACAGGGAATAAGTTATCTGGACCTATCTATGAGGAAATGCTAGTACCTGGGAAAGAGGTGGCTTCATTGACAGCTCATGATGTGCCTGTAGCTGGCATAGATAAGGATAAGGTAAGCTTAATAAGGGCTATCAATATGAAGAACCTATTAGGGACCACATTTGAGTGGCTTTAAGACGGATTCAGAGATCCTACCCAGGAGCAGTCTAGCAGGCAAGGAGAGGGTATTACAACGATGGGACAGCAAAACTGATGATGCGTAAGTAACATTTCATAATGAGATTGTGTTAATAATGTCTTAGACTGGACAAGCCCTTAGAGACAAGCAGTCTTGATTACACAAGGGTTACTGGTAGAGGTGGTGGGGCACATTGGGATCAATTTGCTGTTAATGAAAGGAAGTTCAATGTTAAGAGTACATACAATGAGGCATTGTAAGGATAGTAGACTACTACTACTATCAACTTCTTCTTCTATGCAACTGCTGTCTTATTATAGATACACTACTACTTTGGATACTTCCAAAATATCCCCCGAAAAACAACGTAGAGCTGAGAGGATTGCCAAGTAGTAGTAGTACCACCTCAGATGATGTCGAAAGATGCTCATATTACTCAGGGAGATTGAGCATTCACAGAATTATGGTGGTAAGGAGGAAGGGACAGGAGTTGAGGATGACGAGGAAGCACTGTTCTCAGCAGTTCAAGGTAGTAGCAAGATCCTTCTATTATCATCAGTTATGATTATAAATAGGTACGGGTGGTTATGCTACTGGAACCAAGCAACAACAACAACAGAGTATTAACCAACATCAGAAGCCTCAGTTATCTCCAGAACAGGTAGCAGTAATATCAACAGCTGCTCCTTTGTTGTTGTTGTTGTCATCATCATCTTGATGCTATTAGATATCTGAACGCGCTCGTATGAAGGCTGATTTTGAGAGCCATCTTCGGATGCTTGATGCTGGTCATCGACATCATAAGGTCGCTGCAGCTAGTGCTGGCAATACGGTAATATGATATCTGCTAGCCCCATAGGCTACTATCATCACTCTCAGAGGCTTAATGCTCTCAATCTAGAGCCAGCCTCGGTAAGAGTTAGTCAACTTGCAGGTAGTCGAGCATCTCCAAAGCAATGTGATAAGTCTAAACTATACCTTCTTAATACAACCCTCTTTCAGCATCATCATCATCATCATCGATATCACCCTCTCCTCCTCAACCATTAACTCAAGAGAATCTCAAGAGCCATAATCAGGCGCTACAGTCATCTGGGTCATTTGCTGCTACTAATAGGCAACAACAACAGCAAACACCAGGCAGCAAACATTCTCTATTAGGGGTAGATGTAGTACGACTATTATAGTAGATGACTAGCAGCATGTTCTTTGATCAGGCATCACCAGTCCTAACTGGTGCTAATAGGAGGCCTATCCCGCAGCTGCCACCCTCAGCTGCTGCTGCTGGTGTTAGTGAGATGAAGGGTATCAATGCTCTTAATCTCGAGCCAGCATTGCCTAAGCTACCTGAGAAGGATCGTGAAGAGTGGATAAGCAGTAATGCTAGTCCACAGCTCGGTAAGGCAGGTGGTGGTAAGGGTGTACCTAGAGGAGGAGTATGGCAACAACAACAACAAGTAGGTGGTGGTGGTCTATTGGAACCTGCTGCTGGTACTACTACACCACCATTGACGACAGCTAAGGGTGGTGGTGGTAAAGGGAAGGGAGGAAAGGGTGGTCAGTCCTTATCTATACCTCAAGGTTCCCCACAAGGAGGTCCATATCAAACAGGAGGTGCTGTTACTGCTACTATTCATCATCAACCAAGTCAACTTATGATGAATGCTGTTCATAATGCACAGAATGCTCAAATACAACAACAACAAGTAGATGCCGGTAAACCTCCTGTTGGTGGTGGCAAGGGTACTGCTGCTGCCGGAAGTGGTGGTAGTAGGAGGAATCTAACTTTGGAGGGTACTCAGGGAGGTAAGCGGAGTGGGGCCTTTTCCTTTAACCCTAATGCTAATACATTTACACCAAGTAGTACTGGGATGCCTACACAAGGAGGAGGAGCTACACTGAATATCAATGTCACACCAGGTGGTAGTCTATCGGGTACACTCAAGAATGTTAACTATGATACCTATGAGGCACCAGCATCATCTGCTGCTGCTACTGCTGCTGCTGGTCCTCAGCAAGGTAGTGCTGCTACATCTCTTCCACCACCACCATCATCATCGTCTGATAATGGTATTACTAAGCAGTCAGGGGGCTCAAGTCAGATCCCTCAGGGAGGTAGGCAACAACAACAACAGTCACAGACAGAGCAACAACAGCAGCAGTATCAAGGTGTTACTGCTGGTGGTGGTGGCGGTCGTGGTGGTCCATTGTCCAATACCCAAGGTGGTCCCTCTCCTCCTCCACCTCTACCACCACATGGTCCTATGATGGGAGGTCCTATACATCCTGGTATGATGCCGACCCAAGGTGGTCCTATCCATCCTGGTATGATGATACCAATGCCTGCTCCTCCACACTATCCTGGCTTCATGACTACTGCTGGCTTACCGATGCCTTTACCTAATATAACACCACCATTATTCATGCCTTTATGTGATAGTAAAAGCCTTGATACATCGACTCTGGCAGAGATTGAAGATAGATTGTTAGAGTCAAGTGAAAATGAGAATACCCCAGCGGTATCTACTCAATGGCCTGATGGTTCCAAGTCCTCGAGCTATCGTGATATTATATCAGCATCATCATCATCAGCAGCAGCAGGTGGAGCAGGAGGAGCGATGTTCATGGGTCCACCTACCATTGCTTCCCCTCAAGGTGGTTATATTCCTCTTATTCCTGGTCAAGCTGCTGGTGGTAGTGTTAGTGGCCCTCCTCATATGATGCAGCCACCTAGTGGTCCACCACCAATGGGTTCCCCTATGCTGCCTGGTGGTATGCCTCCTATGGGTATGATGCCTATACCCGCTGGTCCCCCAGCTGGTGCTCCTGGTATGTATCAATACTCTGGACCAATGCAACAACCACCACCAATGCCTGCTCAACAAGGGGGTAGTTCAACAAGTGGTGGACCATCATCGAACCCTCAGGGAGGAGGAGGTATGCATGTCCCTCTACCAGGTGGTATGTATCCTCCTCCAATGTATGGTGGCATGCCACCACCACCCTACTATGCAGCGGTAGCAGCACAGCAGATGGGTGGGGATAATAGTGCTGGTGGTAGTAGAGGAGGTGGGTACATGATGGGAGGTGGTCCTGGGGTCCTAGTAACTCCAGGGAGTCAGGGTGATAATGCTGAAGGAGGAGGTAATGGTAGCCTTATGCCTAGTCCACCACAACAACAACAGAGAGGTAGAGGTTATTACAGTGGTGGAGGACAGCAGCAGCAGGGACAGCAGGGGCAGCAAGGCAGTAGACAGCAGGGACATCGTGGTGGTGGAGGGTATCATGGTAATAATAACCAACAACAGTAGTGCTGCTATCTATTTATCAACGAGAGTAGTGGTATAACCAGTGTATAATTTGTATATGGTCGTTATGTGGTGGTATGATGGTCTTTACCATCTCGGATGGTTATCTGTAACCGAGAGCGGCAATATGGGAGGAATACAGGCTACCTGGGATCAGTGGTTCTGTTGTTATTATCTTTACCACTTCGTCGTCGTTACTATTGATGGATGCTATTCACTATGATATTCAATTGTAGGTTGGATATTATCCCGTTGGAGCCGTTCGTACATGGATGCAACCACTACTTGTTGTTCTTATTCTTTTTACACTCCTACCGAGATAATATGTTCTTCCTTCACTTCAAAGTAAGCTCAGTGTTGTTGATGTTAATCTTAAACTATTACCACTCTAAAGACGATATAGCCTCCCTCCATACTGGTCATATGCGCAGGCGGCGATGATGATCAGATATGACAACGCGAAAGTTAGTAGGCATCTAAGACTGCCGAAGACCGAGGGGCATCCGGTCCCATCATCCTCAAATCCCGTCTCTCACTGCTTTGTTCGAGACCCTGCCGTTATGGGCCTAATTGTGTCGACACAGGCCAACCCAGTGAGGTGCATGATGCTGTATGTCGATGGTGATGCCGACCCCTCCTTTAGTATATGAGCGATGTATGTCAAGGAAGAGTTTATAATCCTTACATATTCCTATTGAGTTCTACTATAAAACACATGAAACGAGTTACCAAATAATGAATTGATTTCATGAAAACAAAGACATTGAAATTTCCATGGCATCGTCTCGAAGTCCGTATCCTTGCGCACGGTCGAAACTAAGACTCTTATAATCGCCCCTTGTCGAAATTGAAGTTACTAAATGAGTATCTTCAATTCTAATCCACCCGCCCCTCCAAATAGAAGTTACTGTTATCCAATAGACGTTGTGAAGGTGTAACAATTCTCTGGTTACCGGAAGCCTCGTCCCACAGCACTCCTGTGATCGATCGTGTCTAGCTTTTACCCCACACTGTTAAACCAACATAATTCTCATGAAAGTAGGATGATATTACTGTCACATGTGGATTCTCACATCTCGATAATATCAAATATAGGGGCACTGTATGGCTGCACGCATGCACATGTATTAAACAACGACAACTTCAAGTCCATGAAATAGTACTGATGGCGGCGGCAAAGGCTTGCATTACTGATAGAGGGGCTGCCACATCCAAGGTATAAGTGTTATTACCGATTTTACCATATTGGCAGACAATGGTCTCAGGAGAGTCTTTAAGGACTAATTGAAAGTTCTTGGCCGATGGGATTATTATACGATTGTTGAAGTCCAGAACAAGACAGTTCATAGAATAACTCCATTGTGGCTCCTTAGTAGCTACCACTAAACAGGAAGTGTTACTCTTATCGGGATGTAATGGACTCCACTTATCATTTACCAAGGGACACCAGATAACATCCTTCCCATAAGGGATAACCATTTCCATAAAGTTATAAATACCATGAGGACCAAGGGACCTCTTGTCTTGTACCATGCTTGCTAATTGTTGGGAGCTCATGTCTAGAGGACCGACTGTTGCAGTGCGATACTTGGACACTGGATTGCCGTCCAATAAAGAAGCAGATAATCGGGGTAGAATATCAGAAGTCGAAAGGACGTCCATACAAGTACCACTACTCTTACGACGATATCGGCAAGCATCACAGCGTGTTGATAACACTGTCCACTGAGTCCGATCAGTCGAACTAACCAACACTAGGGCTGGCTTATCCAGTTTGAACAATACATCATCTGGACGATAGTAATAGAGCTTAGCTCGGATGAGTTTGCCTAGGGGAGCATCATTCCCAAGCATATCGACGTGACAATAAGCTAAGAAGTCGTTGGTGTCCTCAGTCTCTAGTATGAAGTCATCATCAGAACCCTTGATTACCCTCAAATGGCGATAGATTCCCTCAGTCAAAGGCGCAGTGAGATCCCATCGGGACTCCTTAGCCAAACCTTCTTCTAAATACGAGGCGATGTCGAAGGGGAGACTTTCGGGTGACTGACGAGAAGGACTAGGGGTCTCCGAGGATACCGAGTCCCCGGTTGCGGTAGTGGTGGCACTATCCTCTGACTTCACAGTGAGAGTAGAGGGATATCGTAGAAGGCGTTGGAGCATTGGATAACTGTGAAGAAATATTGATTAGGACTGTAAGCAACAGTTTAGATTTCATCGCTGAAAAATGACTCATCGCTTGGGCCGACAGACTGGACATCATCATTATAAGCAACTTCTAATGACGAGCTCCCTTGGTTTCCTTCTTCAAAGGATTTGGTGCGTCGGTGCCGTACAAGTGATGACCAACGTTCCACGTTTGACCATACCTAGCAATTATACTACCGATAAGGGAGCAAAGCAGCGACAGTAGCCCACCTGTCCTTGAAATGGTTCAACGCTGAGGGCTGCCACCAGAAGTAGTAGAAAAACATCCTCATCAGAGTGTACCTAAGAGAAGAGGAGTAAGAGGTGGTTTAAGCGGAGAGGAGCTGCACTACACTGCCAGGGTGTTCATCAGCCATACCCCACACTCCGTCTCGAAGAATCTCTCGAAGATGAAGTTCAACTGAAAGGAAGATGGTATGGGGGTGGTTTGAGTGGGGTACGGGATGTACCTTATCACTGAGGATAAACTGGACTTCTGGGAAGTAGAAAGGCTTGTCGAACTCAGTGAGGAACAGGGGGCTACCAGCCAACATAAACCGTGAAGTCAGTGATGATGGTAATACTAAATAGAGACCTGTAGGTAAAGAGGAGGAAGGATCCTTACCAGATGAGCATCGTGGGCAACTGCATTTACCAGGGATGTGACCTGATGAGGAGATGAGGGAACCCTGGGGGAAAGCGAGGTATTACTTTGAGACCGGCACACTGGACAGGAGCATTTACCACTCTGATGTGATGCCAGATCGACGCCCTAAATGGGTGTTAATTGTAGTAAAGGCCCTAGAAGGAGAGCTTACCGTGAGACCAGTAGAGACTGGTGGCATAGAGAGGTGGGTATGGCTCTAAAGAAGAGGATGATGTAGGTCTAAGGGGAGATAGGAACTTACCGATGTCGAGAGGGCCCTCGTGAGCTGAGAGGCTGCTGAAGGACTACGGCTGATCACACGATGAAGGAGAGACATATCCGAACAGACCTTATCAGTTTCGACTTCGAACGAAAAATATTCACTAAAAACGCCTTTGCCAGGGATCGAACCTGGGACATCGGCGCACGTCTGATTTATCATCCGAACTATCCATCTGTAAGTAACTTCCTTTGCCCATGTATGACCTTATGGGAGTCCCTATACAACTCTTACGGTTCCTGATCACTTGGTGGTCTCTAGCAGCTGTAGTGTTTATATACGAGGTCGATGCAGGTAAGGAGCGTGCAAGAGTCATGGACAAGCATACCTCCTCAGGTCCCTCGTCATCACGCCATGAGCCTGTGAAGCTCCTCTTCAACCCAGGCACGGTGGACTTTGGACCAGCGTAGGTAGAGTACTCACTGCCTCCATCCATCCCCTTCCTTCAGTTATTCCCTTTCCACATGGCTTACTTCAGTCATGGTAACCAATGCTGGTAGAGAGGACATTATCCTGGTCGATGCAGGTAGTAATGGTAATGGTTGGCCCATACACAGTGGTGTCCTATATTAGAGCTGTCTGATCCTGAGGACGATATCGTTATCCTTGATGATGATGGACATGGTTTCCCTATTCGGGTTAGTAGGAGGCACACAGTCAAACTCCAACTCCAGTTCACACCATCATCCTCTTCTAAGGTGAGGTCTGCCCTACTCAACCCTTCTGTAGTTCTCACTAGGTTGAGGAAACCACCAATACGATACGATTTGTATCGGCATCGAATGGTGTCTCTGATCCTCTATTCATACGTTATAAGGTGATAGGGATATCATTGAAGGTTTCATCGTCATCATGTTAATGATCAGCCATCCGGGGCCCGATGGGGCCTCAAGCCCCTACAGCTCAGTTATCCCCAGACTCAGGAATCACCTTGGATACCAATAGAGCTCACAAGCCCACAGGTCATATCAATGGTCCGACAAGATGTTCGCATCCCCCATCAGGACCATCCTCTCACGATTACTCGCATCTCCGAGCGCCGACTACCTTCCTCTACTAGTGCCGTCTCAATAGACTCTTCCGGCCAACGCTGGCCAGTTACTATACCCGAAGGTACAACGCTACTGCTGCTAAAGAGGGACACCACCACACGTTAGGAACGACTTTGTCCGTGGGAAGGGTGAAAAGTTTGCTTACCACGCCAGGCGCACATCGTACGCAATTGATAGTGGAGACCACTGAAGGGAATGGGATAATTCCGTAGGGCTTATATGGAGATACAGGGGTACATCATGTGGCAGTTGTAGGTTGAAGATGGATGTCCTATCAGTTGACAATCTCTATTTCAATCCCCCAATTATTGAATTTGGTAGGATGCTCGAATTGATCCCGGGACCTTTCCATTGGCAGCCACCATCAGGTACTAGGCGGCCCGATGACTTCTTCCCGGCCATGGTTGAGCTCAGAGCCCAGTACAGTGGTGTGCTGGTGGAGGCTGTAGAGATGTATGATGGTCTCTCAGCTGAATATCCCTTTATGATCGGTCACTTATCTTTTAGTACGGCCATCACGTACCAACCCATTGGGAGGTCTTCTGGATCACCTGTCGAAGTTATTCCAGAGATAGCTAGTGGATCGCCACTAAGGGTTCCTAAAGGAGACCCAGAGGAGGAGGAGGAGGAGGATGGGAAACTCATTGGTAATCATCACTTCAATACGCGCCTTGTAGACTTCCTCCCGTCAGCTACCATTCGGTTAAAGGTCCAGAGCAGAGTCCTCCGTAGTGCCGCTGATGTGGATGGGCTCATTCTTATTCATACTAACCTCGACCATACCAACCCTATCCGTCTGAAGGTTACTGGAAGGTAGAGAGATGTGCGATATGGGGATTTTATCGGACTTGTCAGAGTGTCGAATAGTCTACCACTGGTCTATTATCCTGGGGGTGAGATTAGGATGCAATACTGGCCAGAGGAGGGCCTGACCACTCGAGAGGATGGTATCCAACTTGTCACACAATGGGGCAGCTTCGAGATGGCTAAGGCAGAGGTAGAATGCCATTGGTCTTATCATGTTACACTAGAGAGTATAAGGTACATGGCCCGGGTAATATGTCGGGTATTGTAAAGGTGGATGTGGTTGTAGGATCATCACTGAGGGTAGTACACCAGGATGTTGCTGCTGCTTCGCTACGACATCATCATCATCATCATCATCAGGTCACTATCGATCACTCTACTACTTTGCTGTCGGCCCTGAGTATGGAGGATAGGGTTAAGCTGTTCAGCAGAGCAATGGTTATAGCAGTGTGTAGGTTGGTGATAATACTTTATATTAGTACTAGGGTCAGCAGATTCAACTGAGGCCAGGGTTGTGCCAATACCTCTACGGCTCTACACTGGTCGCTTGCTGTTCTCAATAAGGGGTAGAGGGTGCAGCCAATGCGATATAGAAGATGCTATGCTAGTAGGTGCACATGAAGGTTCTCTAGTGGGTTGGTTTGATGACGATGATAGTAGTAGTAGCCCACAGCTGTTTGATGTTGTCGTGGGTAGTAGTAGCTCTGTGTCATTGGTACTGATGAACCATAACCCTTTCAATATCACTCTAGTAGGAGGGGTGAGGTAGGCAGTAGTCCTCACTTGTCCTGGGGGGGGGTAGTTGTGTCAATATCAGGGCTATCGATAGTAATGGCGTTCATATTGGGGGGTCAAATGATAATGAAGGTAATACCAGAGGAGGTAGGCAGTGTGTGTGATGACTTCCTCTACAGACCTTGTGGTCCCTGCTGATAGCATCCTAGAAGTACCTATCACAGTAGGGAGGAGCATATTAGAGGGAGATGTCACATTACAAGGGGAGACTAGTCGGGGTCAGAGGTTCCATCTAAAGGTCATCACAAAGGCGATTCATACCACCTTGCTGAGGGATTATTGCATTTGTCAGGTCCATCACATCAATGTGCCTCTTGCTATGTCAAGCCAAGGCATGGAGGTAGGCATCTTTATGTTACTACTGGATAACTGGTATCATTCAGATTCGTATGGAGGCGTCGGGTGATGATATGTATAATTTAGTACTACCCAAGTGAGTCATCGCTCTCATTATCCACGATACAATGTTACTTAGGATTCCTATCAATGATGGTCTCCCTTACCCGGTGGTGAGAGGAATTAAGTCCTTGGATGCCCGTCTAGAGGTGAGTACCGTAATCTACCCAACTTGAGCATTGGGGGTTACTTTTAGTATGTCCCATCTGAGATGGATACGCTGAGTGATGGTGTCCTGGCTAGAGCTAAGTTTTATCCTGGAAGGGTAGTAGTAGTTATAGAGCTCGAACTGAGTAGTTATAAAATCTACTGTGTGGTGGTACAGGTCCCTACAGAGCTTACTATCACCACAGTGGAAGGCTCAATGGCACTGCTACGTGGTACTACTCCCTCATGGAGTATTTCATGGTCACTGTGTATTCAGGGTCACTGGAAGCTCAACGCTTGGAGGCTCTCACTAGGCGGTATACGTCGTTAGCAACAACCGACAACATAGAAGGATTGTTGAACGAGGTAAGGTAGTAGTAGTGTGGTGGGCATCTGCATATTGTGACATCCCTTTAGATAACCCTTTTGGGTGATGAATGGGAGTATTCTTTCCAAACTCCGTGGATTCATCATCATCAAAGGCGCCATAGATCATCGGTAGGATGCATCGGGATACCATCTTATGTTGTAATAGCCTGGGTCGTTAGATCCTAGTACCGTATCAAGGAGAGCTTATAGGCTTACGGTTAGCACCTCTAGGGGCCTGTAGGACAGCTAAAGTGTCGATAAGGAACCCTCTGCATGACGCTAGTATATGGGTGAGATCCTGTTGATGGTAGAAGTGGTGATGACGATGTGTGTAGGTTCAAGTCAAATACATCACAGTTGACAATGATCTATCACTGAACCTCCTGACTGGGCAAGGGAAGGTGATACTGTGGCTCTCAGTGCCAGTGGTGATGGTGGTGGCCCACTCTGGCCCTAACTATAGGTACTTGAGATTCCACCACGAGTAGAGGTAGCAATACCAGCAGTACGCTATTGTCGTTTGGACCCGTCACCACACTCTGGGGTTATATACATACTCAATAATTACACTCTTGTGGAGGCCTTGCCGCTTACCATACCATCTCTTCCTCAACCTTCCGATGCTGGTTCTACTGAACCCTCTGTAGCTACTACAGTCACTGTGCCGATGCCCCCTCTGTCCATCGTAGGGTGAGGACCATACGATTCAGTCTGCTACACTTCATTTCAGATGGATTATTTGAGGAGGTCCCCTTTGGGCTTTAGATTGGAATTCATGAGGAGGATAGTCACCGAACCCGATGATACAGTGATAGACCTTAATCTTGTCGGCGTACCTCTCACTGTCCCCATGGCGGTGCTCGAAGGGCTCGATGGGGACATGGTTGATGTTACTAGGGTGGAGTTTAGTGGAGGAGAGAGAGGAGGAGGATGTAGCATGCCTATAGGAGAGGAGTGTGGTAATGGCATTTATAGGTACTACTCCTGATGGCTTCAAGTTGGTAAGTAGTCTCTGTAGTGATGGTCATCATCATATCCCTGTACACAACATCACTGGTACAAATACATCACTATCATTCGTACATTATTTGAGATTACTTCAGGTGTACTAAAACACGATATTGCTATAACGGTTCCCTTGAGTGTCAGCCTTAGTGATGCTCATCATCAAAAGTTTATATCATCTCCTGCTATCTTGGTGTTGATCATTGACAATATCTATCGGTTAGAGGTAGTACTCGAGGTTGCAGGTCTTCATGCTGACCATAGGCCATGTTTGATGATCAGTTCCCGATTACTATACCATCTAAAGCCCAGCTCTTGGTGTTGGTTGAAACTACTCTGAAGGAGATCGTCGATGCCTGGCCAGCCGGGCAAGCGAAGACCTATCTCGCACGGAAACTGGTGAGGGTAGAAATGTATCGCGCGGGAATCGAACCTGGGTCTGTTGTCGACAGGTCGCTATTGCTACCGATTTCAACCAAGAGTTTGATGATGGCCTGGGAACGGCTCGAGCCTTGACCGAGCTGATTGGTTCGCTAGAGCAGGTCTCAAATCTCGACCCATCTCCAGAGTGGACGGATACTGCTGGTTCCTATAGCGGCGAGCGGTCCTTCAGGCAGATCGCATTGGTATTGATGCTTACAGGACTAGCGGTAGTAATAGTGATGGGGCACAGACGATGTCACCTTACGATGATCATTCAGACTATAAGTATCACATGGAAAGGTTCAGCACAAAGGCGACGGTTAGTATGCAGAAATAAGGTGAAGAGGTTGGATATGATACCTAAGAAGAAGTAAGAACATTGTTGGAAGTTTAGTGGAAGGGTGATGTGGCGGCTATTACGTTGAGGCTATTACAGGCCCATGGCTAGGCGTGAGGTGATGAGTGGACAGCCTAGTCCACCTCCACTACTAGCAGAACTACTCACCTATTTTGAGGAAGCGAAGCAGAAGAAGGCAGTGACTACTAAGGCTGATGTGTCTGTTGATGATAGTAGTAATAACAATGATGATAGTTGTTACTATTAACCTTTATCTCCAACAGGTATCAGTAGTAAATTGTCTACGGATACTCTTGTGGCGTCACATCCAAAGCAAACAGGTGGTAGTAATAGTAGTAGCAGTAAGCATGGCAACAGCATCAGAGGAGGCGGTCATAAGGGGGGTGGTCAGTCGATGATGAACCTTCTGGCGGACGAACCCCAGCCACCGGCTAAGCTGAGAACGGTAAGGTTAGTCGAAGTAGTAGTAGTAGGAGAGAAGTTAGGATCAGATTCAATCAGCAGTAGAGGCATCTATGGCGATGCAAGGTAAACCATCAGTGGAGGTGGGAGAGGTAGGAAGTAGTAGTACCAAGAAGAAGAAGACTAAGACTAAGGAGAAGGCTGTCCCCAAGACCAAGTCAGTAGCAACAACTGATAAGAAGAAGGTCGTCAAGCCGAAAAGGCAGCAACAACAGCAACATGGCTCGATCAAGGCTAAGGCTGTGGACCAACCTCCAGCTCCTATTGATGGGCAGTCGGCCAAGTCGCGGGTTCGAACCCCGGTGCCCCCACTTTTACCTACTGCTAACAAAGTGGTGGCCGGGGAGAAGGATGTGTCCGATGAAGTTGTGGTGAAGAGGAGTGATTCTTTATCGTCATCATCATCATCATCATCATTGAGGAAGAGTACTGCAGCATGGGAGGAGTCTTCCTCCTCGTCCTCTTTGGGTACGGCTGATGGTGATCATCAAAATAAGTGCAGTAGCACAAACAATGCTACTGTGCAGCCATTTGAAGATCCACTTGAACCACAGCAACTATCGGCATCATTGGAGATGCTCTTCAAACAAGCCCCTGTATACGATCGGTCGGAGGAGGCTTCACCACAGGATGACTCTCTTGACGACGATCTGGATACTCTATTGAAGAGTTTGGATGGAAGTCTGCTGGTGGAAGACCAACAGGGGACGACTCTTACTCCTCCTCTTGCTCATGCTGCTCCTGCTGTTGACTCGTATGGGCTCATTGGTAGTTGGAGAAGTCAGCAAGATATTCGGTAAGTTGCCAGTCGGCCATATTGGGCTCCTGCATGTCTGGTTTAGATATGGTCTGTCATCACCACCTAACAATCCTGTCTATCCTCCTTCATCATCATTCAATTTCGACGACGACCACGATGGGACTAGTGGTAGTAGTAGTACCATTCTATGTCTGCTTTTGTCTGATAGAATATTCAGATGCTCTGTACGAGCCTGTATCGAGTTGGCTACCTCCTCTTCACAATCCTTTACCTAGATCGCAGCAAGAGTAAGTACAGCAAGGTGTTGTCACTTATCATTCACCATATTGATTCAGAAATCGTCGCGTGGAACCTCCGATACCATCTAGCTATAACTTTCCTTACGACAACACTAACAACTACAACAACAACTCTACAGATGGTTGTGTCTACTATGAAGCTTTCGCACCTCAAGCAGAAGGGATCCCTCAAGACTACGGCGGAATACCCCAGTATCATCATCAGCCTCCCGAGGCCCGACCAGCATTCACCTCCTGGACTGATGCCGATGGTAATGGTAGTAGTAGTGATAGCGATCACCCCGATCGTCATTGGGTAGGTGCCTTCTGGAATGAGGAATACGAAGATGTGTCTCGTCGTCGTCGTTATGACTTTGGGGCCTTCACTAGAGAAGTTCACAGGCGTCGATCAAAGAATTATTGGTGATTATGATTTTAGTTATCACTATGTTATTATTGTACTGTACATTTTCGTATCTTACTGCCACAATTTAGTGACCATTTCTACAGCCTGTCGTCGTCGAGGTCGCGTTGGGTCATCCCTGCTTATCACCTTGTCAGTATGTAGCATGGAAGAGTCTGAAACCCATCATCATCATGGCCATACTAAACCGACTTCCATGACAGTTCAAATACGGGAGTTGATGGCTGAGAGAGAGGTGATATCCAGTACCATAATTTGAGGACATCGCAGCAGCTGTCGTCTATGCGGTTGATGATGAGGTGTTATGTAGGCACAGGAGGAAGATCTTGGAGCTATGCGCGAAATGGTGAAGTTCCTTAGTGATAGATGTCAACAGTTGGAGGCCGCATACAATGATAGGGAGACGAGGTTCAGGAGGGAGATGGAGGAGGTGGAAGAACAGCACAAGAGGGATATGGCTCTGGTTGGGGTGAGAAAGGTCCCTGGTTCGATCCTTTGTTAGAGCTTTCTTTTGATTATCAATAGGTTGAGATGAGCGAATTGGAGTCTCGAGTAGAGGCCTTATCTGATATAAAGCATGAGTTGAACTTCCGAGTACAGCAATTAGAGGCCGCTCACGCCTCTGGGTCGCGGCTGCCAGAAGGGTCTATCACTTGTGGATGCTGTTTAGAAAGGCCTGCAAGAACTGTAGTGTTGCCATGCAGGCATTTGGTAAGGGCTAAATCTAGATGTATTCTATTACCACTACTCTATCATGATCATGCAGGTCCTGTGCTACGACTGCTCGAGACAGCTTACTACTTGTCCGATATGTCGATCGACTATTACTCAACGCATTGATGTCTTCTTGTAGTCGACACTAGACGAGTTTTTAAAATGTATACTGTGGGAATTGAACCCGGATCATTTCAGTATCATTCTGTGATCTATTTGATGGAAATTGCTATTATGTTGTTGGCTTGAGTGTAATCCTCAATAGCATTATCTCGGTGACCTACGAGGGAGGATTCTGCCAGATGGCTAGATGTTATCGGGGAGAGTAGAGGACAGCTTCCCCACGAGATCCAACAGAAACCCCGAATGTGGCGAAGAGCTTGTTCAAAGGTACTGGATATTCGCGGGGTTGTGATGCATGCGAACTGAGATTAAAGATCTGATATATGAGGAATAATATGCGCTGGATACTCAGACATGCTTGTCGAGTATTCTTGTGCGCCACTCCAGGAAACTTCATGGCGACCTTAGCGGTGATGATTGCTCCGATAAGTTGGAGGTATCAATCATAGTCTTTCCGTCCAACCTAGTCCTATCGATGGTGTGAGAGTAAAGAGTTCCTGTTAGGAGGGGGACAGGCACCGAACTAGCCGACGGCCTACTACTCCTCCTCTATATGACACAGTTTGCTCATGGGAGGGTCCACTACCAACGCATCGCTTTTGAGGACGATATGATTGTGGTAATGGTGAGGATCATTCTGATAACCACTGTAATGCTGCTTGCCTACGGGTAAACGGCTACAAGGCGAGCTGAGTTGCACTACTATTATTGGGAAGTAATGGCATGGTATGGCGAGGTGCTATCCTTATTGTGGCTTTCCACGCCTGTGTAGTAGCAGTATCTAGTGATTGATCGAAATGCGAAGAATATTCGTGTATATGGAAGCTGTCTGTTGTTGAGTTGATGTTGTTGGTCAATTGGGCATTTCACTGAAGAGTAATCCCGTGAAGAGACGTGATGGCAGGAGTAGCCCAGCCCGACTTTAGGAGGAGTACTAGGGAGTATACACAAGTATTTACTGACTCTAAGCATCTCATTGGGAAGTACAATACTCCTATCATTGGAACGATAACACATCTTAATGCTCCTGCTGCTCAGGTATGGTCTACATAGGCAGGCTATTAGAGACTTCCTGGAACAATTCCAAGATAAGGCTCTTAGTGATGACATATGGGGTGATAAAGGTGATAGTCAACCTGCACTGTATGAGGTCACTTAGGCACGAAGAAGTACATGACTCAACTGCAGAAGGTTGTTGATGGTCTCAGTGACCGTGTTGATATCAGTTTGGATGACTTACAACACTCTACGATGGAGGAGGGCCTTGTGGAGGCTATAATGAGGAATACTCAGAGGTGTGGTATGCAGGAGTGGATAGTGAGGCAGACTGAGCAGCTTAGGTATCATCTATTCTTTGTGGAGGAATGCCATGCTATCATGCCTCAACCCTCGGTCCACTTCCAACCAAGTAGGGGCTCTTCACCTCCTTATTATCACAACCTTCTTCCTCTTGTTTGCAGACCCCAACAGAGATGTGCGAGCACAGAATGAGTGGCGCGAAGCCGTCGATGATCACATCAAGTAGGTTGCCTTCAGTAGCTCGATTTCCCTTTACTCTATGTTCCAGTTCACAGAGGGCCCTAGCGGGTACTGCTGATCCTCAGAATAAGATGCCTGAGAGGATGAAATGGGACTTTGTGGTGGGTGGTGGCGTCGGCCCATGATGCATAGAGTAATGCCTCTCGATAACATGATAGGTATACATCCATCTGCCCAAGGATGTGGCCTCAACACCATTACGTGAAGTCAAGTCAGGTAGTGTTGGTCGGTTCATCAAGATGGATGGTGTGGTCACTAAAGCTGCTGGAGGTGGGCGGCCTCAATAATACAGTATGCTCGCCTTCTATCGTGTATGTAGTTAAAGCTAAAGTCGAGGTGGCTACCTATCTATGTGAGACATGCGGGGAGACAATATGGCAGGTTAGAACAGTAGTCTGTATTACCCTCATCTTTTATATGCCATAATCAGGTTGTCGACTCGGATGCTTTCATGCCTATAGGACAGTGCCCCACCCCTCGATGTAAAACCAATAAGACTCTAGGGACTGTAAATCTACTATGGAAGTCTTCCAAATTCGTCAAGTAGATAGTAAACGAGTCGGGATTAGATACTCACCATTACTCAGGTATCAGGAGGTAAGAGTGCAGGAGCCGAGTCATGCAGTGCCGGTTGGGTCCGTCCCTAGGACTATGCTATTGGCATTAACCCATCATCTCACTAGATCAGTTCTCCCTGGTAATAATAGTCCTAGAAAGGCGTATTGGCTTAGATGACAGATGACTTTAGGTGACGCTGTGACGGTCAGTGGTATATACTTGCCTATACAAAGGCATGCGGCTTCAAGGATGAGGCAGAGGGGACGAGCTAAGAATGAGATGTGTGCACGGTGTGGTAGGAGTTAATTGGAGATCTCCCTCTGGAGGTACATTCATGTATTCGACATAGAAAAGCATAAGAAGGGTTATGCTGAGCAAACAGAGGAAGCGGAGATGTCCCAGAAGGTCATGTTATTCTTTATTTACTCTTAACACTTATTAGTCCTATACAGATTGATGAGGCACGAGAGGACCCTGATATCGTCGACAAACTGGCCCGTAGTATCGCACCAGAGATATATGGTCTGTCGGATGTGAAGAAGGTGAGGTATTAGTCTACAGCGGTATAGTGTATGGCTCAGGCTTTACTTTGCCTCTTGGTGGGAGGCTGTACTAGACAGATGGGGGATGGTATGCGTATTAGAGGGGACATGCATGTTCTGTTGATGGGTGATCCAGGTAGATGCTTATTGGTAGTAGCAGACTTGATAATGCTACTACTAGGTGTTGCTAAGTCACAGTTGTTGAAGCATCTATCGTTGATAGCACCAAGAGCTGTGTATACTACAGGAAAAGGAAGCTCAGGTGTTGGCCTTACTGCCAGTGTTCAGAGAGATCCTCAGACCAATGAGGTACTAGGCATGTGTTCTTCCCTAGGGGGTATATCATCGGATAGATGACCCTGGATGGAGGGGCATTGGTGATGGCTGATAATGGTATATGCTGTATTGATGAATTCGATAAAATGGAGGAGTCCGATCGTACGGCTATTCATGAGGTACCTCTCCCTAGCCTGGAAGAGCGACGCCTAGTTATGTTGTCGATAAGGTTATGGAGCAACAGACGGTGTCTATCGCCAAGGCAGGTATCACTACTACATTGAATGCTAGGACGTCAGTGGTAGCTGCTGCCAACCCAGCTTATGGACGGTATAATCCTAAGAAGGTAGTACTTCCTATTGAGAGTCTGGTATGGTTCATCCAGTCTGTATTGGAAAACCTCAACCTTCCAGCTGCCCTACTATCACGTTTCGATATACAATTCTTACTATTGGATACTGTTAATGAGGATAAGGACATTGCCCTAGCCAGGCATGTCGGTAATGTACACAGGTGAGCGTATGCATTTGCTGTTATATGCTGCTAAGTATCATTAGGCTGGGAGAGGTCCCACAAGACCTCGACTTTGAGCCTTTCGGAGCCGAGTTCATGAGGGCATATGTCCGCAGGTTGGCTTGGTCTGACGGTCTGATGCATCATCACTCCCTCGTAGGGCTCGTGAATATACCCCTACTCTGGATGCATCCTTAGAGGCAGAGATTGTGAATCATTATACCAACATCAGAGCTCAGGTCGACGCCACTATTGGTATTGTAGTATTGACTGTAGTTAATTCAGGAACGTAGTGGTACTCATGATAAGTTGAAGACCTATACGACCCCTCGAACTCTATTGGCCATCCTCCGTCTGGCTCAGGTCTACATGTGGTATTGGAAGTTATTAAGTAGTTGTTGTTGTTAGGCTCTGGCACGGTTGAGGTTCTCTGAGGTTGTCCAGCGTAGTGACTTTGATGAAGCCTTGAGGATCATACAAGTGAGCTCATCATGATGATAGTGATGATAGCCATGGGAAGGTTGAAGTTAGGCAAGCAAGGCGTCGGTATCTGATTCGGCTCATAAAGGTGGTCACCATAGGACACTTGACCCTGAATCGAGGGTAATAGTATTATATGGAAATTAGTTGATGTTCATCATCTTAGTGTTGGGAGGATATGTCTGAGTTTTTACGTCGGGTCCCTCCAGGTGAATGGGCCTCGATGAACGATCTTGAGAGGTAAGCTAAGCATCGTTGGATTGCGTTATCGGCAGTCTCAACGGTGACAGTTACGTGCAGAAGCGTGGCACAGCTACTCGTGATGTAATTCAGAAGACTATCGCTGCCTATGAGAGGATTAACATTCTTGGCGTCAGTGAGGATAGAACGAAGATATGCATGTTGGGATGATGGAGGCTACACAATATATACTAACACAAATATTTGATATTATCATGCATGCTTTGACGAAGCTGTCTAGTGCTTGTGTTGACGGTGAAAGAGGGAATGTCGGATGGTGAGATGAGCTCGAGGCAAACGAATACATAATACAAGCTTGCAGATTTGTTGGAATGGATCGGATGTTTTGATAGGGAAATTCATCTCTGAATCGGAAAACCAATAGTATGATTAGAATTATTGATCATGCGACAATATGCATGTTGGGTGTTGGGATACTTCAGTGGGTCCCACTCTTCGTTGAGTTTACAGTTGTATCGAAGACAGAATCCGGGATCCTATTACACCCCCATTAGAATCCATGTTCATTTTCGTCAGCGGGATTCCCATACAAATTCGCATATAAATGTTGAGGAACCAATTAGAATTTCCTTGACTGCATAATTTTACCAGCATATGTAGTTGATCATGTTCCTAATTCCCTACACTGCTCCGTAGATCGCCTGTGATAAGAATACTTCAGTTGTCGCTCGCCATTGTGCAATGGGGACGATCGGGCAGTTTCAGTATGTTCATTCTTGTTTATGCGTACAGTCATGGCCCAACTATCATCATATGTCATCGCTCTGTTGGATCTGGCTTGTATTCGCGACTGTGATGTAATCGTGCAGGTTCTCTATTTCCCACCCATCATGCAAATCGTCCTCACTCTCGTCACTATCCTTGCCAGCATCGTCCACCATGTTGGTGCTGGGTCATGGTCTGGTCTCGTTATTGCTGAGAAGATGCTTGGTGCTGATAGTGCTTATTGTCAACGTGTTTGTGAAGAGCGTCCTGGGTGCATTTTTAGCTACTGCGGTGACGACAATAAGTGTCACGGTATCGGCTCGGGCGCTGCTCCTGAGGAAGTCACTTGCGGTGCTGCAGCTACTTCATTTGACAGTTGCACATCTGCATGCGACTCGGTTGTCGATTGCTCTGCTAGTACCTGGAAGTCTTTCTGCAAGACCTGGCTCGACACTCCGGTCTGCTTTGGACTCTTACAGGGCTCTAACGGGTTGTGCTACGAGACCACTCCGGGTTGCACTGGGTCTGCTTATGCGTGTCCATGAGTATTTTTGAGATTGCATATAATGCTATGTATCACTGTTCGATCAAGTTATTTCTAGTAATTGTGCCGCAAGCATGGAATCTGTGCCTTATTGCAGTACGGTATTTGCCGTCTTGTGATGATAAGTCATATCGTTTTTATTAAAGTGATAAAGTATAAAGTAAGCCTAAAGATAGGTTAGGTTTCCATGTTAGAGTAGTTGTGTTTTTAGTGGATAGGAAACGATATGCATATCTCTGCCGTTACACTTCACATTTTTTTAGTTCGCGAAACAGCCTTCAATCTGAGTAACTCGTAGTCGCATCATGCCAACTGTGACAATCTCGGTCATTTCGTTTGAATTTGACTCATATTGTCCACTTGTCTAGATATGAGAAGATAGTTACTCGGTTGTTGTTCTGTCTGAAGGAGAGTAGCTCTTTATTTTCCTTGGGTTCGTCCCTATCCCTCTGGGGGGCAGTAGTGAATGTTCACTTGTATACATGATCGTGTCTTTGGTTGTAGTTGTTAAATGCGAGGATTGTTTTATTTTTTATAGGCGATTCATTCGAGGTTAAATGTAAAAATTTAGCGTTTGTTGTTTGGGATGGATGGGTCGGCTTTTTCCAGGCTAGTCTCGCGAGGGCGGCAGTTCTGTAGGATAGAGCAAGTAGTTGTACATTCTGCAGGGTGCTCTGTTATTAGACATTATATGTGGTCGATGAGGAACCTTACTTACATGTATGACAGCAGTTTGGGTTAAGAGTGATTGCGGTTGAATTTATGTTCACAGATGCCCATACCTCCCACTCCCAATCCATGGTGATATTGCTACGCTTCATAGGAGAGCATTCTACCCGTGCTGGTATATGGGAAGGTGGTAGCCAAAACCAAGCTGTAAATAGTGTGACAACGACTAGTGGGGGGCTTCATACACATCATAGGGGAAGATAGGAATTCCTTGTTAAGTAAAAGCTATCGGATATGCGCTACAATGGGACATACGCAAACTCCATGAGAATGGCTTCATCTTAAACGCAAGATACAAAAAATATCAGAAAAAATAGAAAATACTGTCGCCTCGGATCGAACCTCCTCGGACTCTCGAATTGTCTTGTGTAGTAATAAATTGTGTCAAGAGTTGGTTTGAAGTGCAGCATAATAGAAGCGAGCTATCCATCGTCGCGGAGCTCTGAATCGGCCAGGATGATTCTTCTTACATGAGCAGATACTGGAACGTTGCCGATGGGAAGCGGCGTATCGTAGTTGGCCACAGAAGCGGTCAGCATACAGTCTTGCAGGCATCTCTAACCTTGGGAGAGTGGTACTTGGTGACACACCATGGTAGAGGCTTGCATGGCATAAGCTATGTATAGGCAACAGATAGTGCATTATGCGGGCAACGCCTTATCATACCATTTACTCCCTCATGTTCATGTAAGAGTTCACCAGTAGTGACCAGCTTCAGAAATCTATTTCGAATGAGAGGCCATCGAATGAGGAAATCAATTTAACCCGAGTCAGATTCGGTGCCGTATTGTGAGAGTCAATTCCGCGACATCGCAAGTATATCAATTAAATGGCGCGTGACCATTTTCTACAAACAACTCTAGTAACACGTGAAAGTGGATACCTATAGAAATGAGGGGATGTATTTCGCTGTCAGTGAAGACAGCCAGTTGCGGCCGAGGCAGAGGATTACCCGATTAGGACTGTATGTAGTCACAGCTACTCACCAACAAGCAGTCACTGGATACACCCCGACTAGGTATTGGAAAGGCTTAGTATACCAAGGGCCATCCCAGTCTCATCCGTCTACTAGTTGCAGGTTGATTCTGCCTATGCTTGACTTAGACAGTTCAGCCTAGTCGCAGTGTGTACCACAAGAAGCTGGTTTTTTTCACATGGTTACCGCCACCCTCCCAGTAGAAGTCATCTATGGCGGCTTCCTATCACTATCCTTACTCCTAGCTTGTCTCATGCGCCGTTTGCCAGGCCGTACGGAACGACAGGCATTCGGCTGCGTTATCGGTATCATAACTCTCGTGATAATTGTGCACAACTTAACTTTGCTTGTCTTCCTCCTTACTTCAATGGTAAGTCAACTCTCGCTAGAATATACCGTAATTATTCCTATTCAGATAGTATTGGCGATAACCCCTAAGGACTGGCTACCTCTAGGGTTACTGGTCTATTCGTTCACTTTCTTATACCCTACCCGAGCATTTCGTAAGGGCGACGACTCTGGCAGCAGCAGCAGCAGCCTCCCCTCAGATACGGTGGATGGTGTGTCCAATGCATGCCTTCTTATTATGTCTCTGCGTAACTCTATGTTTGGCCGTGACCAATTCCAAACCTTCCAAGGTGGGATCTTAATGTCCCCCTCGGGTGTGACTACGTATTGTGACTAGGTTCTATCCGAGACTATTACGACTACATCTCCTACATGGTATTCTTCCCTGGTCTGCTCACTGGACCGGTGTATAATGTGAAGGATTGGATTCAAGCCTTGGAGGATGATAATCATGACATAGACCTTTCTGAGGTATGTGGTACTTCTATAGTCATTCACCCCAGGTGAGTCACCTGAGCCTCTGTGATCAGATTAAAAATCGTCTATATCGGGCAATAGTATGGGCGGTTATATTCATCACGTGCGCTGAATACTTCCCGATTGAATTCATGCTCACCGATGACTTTGCCGTATACCCACTGGTGTTACGTTGCATGTAAGGCACCAGTAGCTACTGGTTGTTTCTATTCATGTTCAGTTACATCACATTGTCGACCTACTACTTCTTCGGGGGGAGATGTTTTGCTGGTTGGTATGTCGCTGAGGCTGGCCTAGCTGCTATCGGGCTTAGGGCTCGGAATACAGACTTTTGGGCACCGGAAAAGGCCAATACCGTATCTCAGTATATACGGGAATGGAATAAATCAGTAAGACGACGACTATCATCATCGATATTGTCATAGAATTGAGGAGGTGACAGGTACAAACATTCTTCGCAATTTATGTATATCGTCCATTACGAGTGATGACACCTATAAAGCCTGTGAGAGCAGCAATAGTAATGTGTTGTAGTGCTTATTGGCATGGACTGGAGGCAGGCTTGTATGTCTTTTTCCTCTCGATATTTCTCGAGAGCGCCTTTCTTAATAACTTCCCGAGACTACCCTCCCCCTTTGGGTACATACACGTTACCTTCCTGCTTAGTTATTATGGTGCAGCTTTCATGTTGAAGAATGACTTATCGAAAGCATTGACGGTGTGGTCTAATATGGGGTATGTTGGTCATTGGTATACAGGCATACGCTTTCTATTGTGGCTTGCATGGGGAACCTCTCGAAGGCTGGTGAAGAGTCATAATAGGTGAAACACTGAATAGTTACTTTAAAATTTTCGTTCCTCGAGTCCTTCGGTATGAGTTTAAGTAATAATGTAAAAAGGCGAGAAGCCGGAGTATACTTCCTAGGAATTTCGAAACTCCTCATTCGTCCTCATTCCTTGAAATTATCCATTTCGTGATTCTCCTTGGTTCTCTTTAACTTTGTATTTTATGGATGAATCGTTTCCAGTTCATGTTACGTCACCAATCGGTAGCCTGCAAATGAAGGCTGTCGTCCGAGGTAGTGGAGGTCGCGGGATCGATCCCTGGAGCCGGCATTTTCATTAGCCGTCTTTCGGAAGCTTAGCTTAGAGCCTTCATTTTTAAAGCAGTGAGCTTGGCACCGACTGTAAGCTATAGTCGGTCTCGTGTGGCACAAAATTATCGTATTCTCACGCTACTGCCTGGCAACGCTGGGGTATGTGTCCTAGGTAAATGATTCGTAATGAGGTTTTGTAAGATTTAATGTTAAGCATTCACTGTGTGGTGGGACACAGTTTGTGTAAAAATCGTACTAGCTTTAATTTGATGCTCATTCTCTACCCTAACTGCTCGACGGCATGGGTCAAAGATACATTATTATGAGGATGGAAGACGGGCAAGGATTCAATGCAGCGAGGAAAATTGGTAAGCTAATGCTAGTTCAATGAGCTATTGAGTCATGTTAGCATTCGTGAAGGCGTGGGTTCGAGTCTCGGGATAGGTTTTTATTCCGGTATGTACTGCAGAAGATGCTGCCGAGATTAATACGTCTGTCGGTAATCAGTGATATCATCGAGGGGAAGTGGGCATTGCTTTTATGAAATGCTGCTTCTTTCGACAGAAAAGATCATGTTGCAGGGATTGAACCGGGGTCGTCTGTAGGTCAGGTTCTTCAAGCAGATCTGACATGGTCTAACAACTACACCGAATGCTTATCAGTTCTTCTGGGTGTATAATCGTCATTTTAACAGAGTCTATTCCTAGAGAACATCATCAAGTGCCGCCTAATCGGACGCATCTGGTAAGCGAAGTAGCGATACTGCTGTGGTGGAGGGAAAGAGTGTGTTGTACACCTATTGCCGTTGGCAGGATAGTTGCTTGGTTTACTCAGTGGAGCTCGGGAGTTTACCCATAACACTATGAAAATTCATACTCGATTTAGGGTAGAAAATGCAAATACGTAGTTTTCCCGAAACTCCCTCCCAGAATTTTCATATTATCACAAGCACACGTAGTTGACCATGTACATATTTTCCCACAACGTCCTGGATGCTTCTTCGACTGTCTTACTCGTACCAGCACCGGAAGACATCGAAATGTGCATTGATGTATCAATCTCGGCATACAGCTCTCCTCACTATAATCATGTCCCTCCTCAGGTAAAGTAATCTTTCACTTATTCGGTCTTGACAGCGACTAAGGTGGTTGTAAAGGAAGTTACTGTCACAGTCATTACCCATCTATACCAGATACCACAGTACTACTGTGGTATCTGGTATGGATGAATGCTAAGATGGATGCATGATTACTACTACAAGTATGTGATGGTCGAATTGATGTTTCGTTGTGAATCTTGTGTATATCTTCGATTTCCGACAAGGATGCGTGCCTTGGTAGTGTTTTTTGTGTTTATTTTTCACCTGTGATGACGAAGGCGTTAGTGTGTATCAAGCGTGTTGTTGACTACGCAGTGAAAGTTAGAGTAAGTGTGGTATTTGGTGGTGGAAGTTAATGAGTGTGTTCAGGTTATGGCGACCAAGGCTGGCGTTGATCTTGCCAATGTTAAGCACAGCGTGAATCCCTTCTGTGAGATAGCTGTTGAGGTAATGGGAATATTGATGATAATAGGAATGATATCTCTCACTCTGCTGTTAGGAAGCACTCCGAATGAAGGAGGCTGGTCACCTATCTGAGGTCGTGGCCGTCTGTGCTGGTACTGACAAGTAAGCCTAAGGGGAGTACTGGCACTGACGTGGAGTAGTCGCTCTGGTGTTGTTGTCGATGTAGTAGTAAGTAGATATACAACTCTAGCGATATAAAGAGTGATAAGTATTAGAAGGATTCTCTTGTTGTATAACGTGTGCAATTAACAGGGCGAGTTAGAGTTACAAGAAGCACACTGATTATCCCTGGAAACTGAGAGGAGTTACAATAACATCGTCACTTATGCTATAATCTTCTTGGCTGTTTGCCATCTGTTATTAATTGTTGTACTTCAGGGCCACAGAACAACTCCGTCAAGCGTTGGCGATGGGGTGTGATCGGGCGGTAGGAGGAATCGAACCTCTGCGGGAAAGTGGAGGAGGGTTGATCTATGTTGACAGATCCATCTCCAGACTCATCTGCGGACTGACCAGGAGCTTCCACCTCTGTTGGTTGCTAAGTTGATCGAGAAGATTGTTGAGAAAGAAGTAACAGGATCTCCCTCGTAGGATCTTATTGTTGGTGTCACTCAGGATCCATTATTGGTGTTGATGGGCAAGCAGGCTATAGATGGCGATATGGGACAAACGTGTCAGTTGTTGGCTGGGATGTTAGGCTGGCCACAGGCTACTTGCGCCAGCAAAGTGACAGAGGTGTGGTATGAAGTAAAAATCACAGTCATTGCATCAGGTTGTTGTATCTGATGACAATACAGAGTTGACGGTCGATCGGGAAGTCGATACTGGCATTCAGAAGGTGAAGGTCACTCATCCTCCTTTCCCTCTCCCTACCTCTGTTAGGTCCACATACCTCTACCTGCAGTCATGTCAGCTGATCTTAGGCTGAATACCCCAAGGTCAGTCCTAGGGCTGGGTTTGTATTCCGGGTCCTTCTATTCGTGTATGCTGATGATATGGGTCGTCTTCATAGTAGAAGTTGTGATGGAGGCAGTGTGGCTGGGTTGTAGATGAATTATAGGTCTTCGTTGACTCATCCTGAATGTGTGTTACATTAAGTCTGTTGTGTGCGCTGTCTCCTTCATGAGAGTATCTTGTCAGAGTAGATCATGTAATAGCTTGTTGGTGTATCTCAATGTTATTACTGTTGTTAAGATTGAGAATAGATACGCTACCCTACCAAACCTAATGAAGGCTAAGAAGAAGCCAATTGAAGTGATACCAGCTGAGAGTCTAGGGGTTGACCTTAAGTCCACTTTACAGGTAGGTTATGGTGGGAAGATGTTACTTATGCCTACTTCTAGCTAGGGGGGAGGGGGACTTCAAATTCTCACGTTGTTGGCAGGAGGAGGAACTTGACTTCCTCTTGCATCTGCATCATCATTTTATGTTTGTTCGTGCTACCTTCGATGATACCGTTGTGTTGTGTCGGTATATGCACGTACACACGTCGTGCTGTGAGTGCTTTGCGTGAAGTTGGTTCATCGCCACCTGCATCACAAGATGGGATGTATCCCTCTTGCTATCCGATTTAGTTCCTGACTAGCATTAACTAGATAGAGATATGCTTTTATTTGTGGTTTAGGTAACTTCAGTGGAGGAGCCACCAGCACGCAAGGCCGGCGTCATCTTGAGTGATGTTGATGAGCTCATAGACAAGCTGAAGAATGAGGCCAAGGTCCTCTAGGCTAATTTCGTGGCGCGCGGTCATAGAAAGTCGGTTTTTATTATGCAGAGTTACTAGGTGTGAGGAGGAGCGTTGTTTTCGATGACCCTATACTGTTGTTGGGTTGATCGCATTATAACGGCTCCATGTTTTCTTTCGTCAGTTGTTGTTTATCATTAACTATGTTGTGTAATTTTTACCATGAGCCAGTTGCTGGTGGGGCCAGTGAGCAACTGTGGAAGGAGAATCAAGACCTAGCTCTTATGAGTCTTCATAACCCTTTCGTTCAAGGCCTTGGTGATGGTACTCTCGACCCGGAAGCTTTCAAGACATACTTGGCTCAGGATACGCTCTATTTAAACGGCTACATCCGAGCTCTGTCTTACTGTATTTCAAAGAGCGATGTAACTGCCACTGGTGGGGAGTTGTTGACTTTACTCACTGGAGTTGAAGAAGAGCTTAAGTCGTGTCATAAGCATTACATCGAGAACCCTGATGCTAGTGGTCCCGAAGCTGCTTGTCGAAAGTATGTTGATTTCCTCCTTGCTGTTGGTAGGGCTGACCTTGGACCATCGGTGGTGATAGCGGCGGTGATACCATGTGCTAGGTTGTATGCCTGGCTTGGTAGGGAGCTCACTGCTGATCGGGAGGTCCCTGAGACCCACCCTTTCCGCAGGTGGTTGTTAAGTCATGCTGATGAGCCTATCAATACCTCAACTAGAGTTTTGGAATCCCTCCTAGACAAGCACATACGTCCAGGAGAGTTCAAGGAAGTTGCCCAGGCTTATAGGCGTGCTATGGAGCTCGAGTACGACTTCTTTGACTCATTCGGAGACTGTTTGGGTCGTACTACTGAGGTGAATATGAAGATTCCTACGGTGTTGGTGGTTAGTGGTAGCGATTCTGGTGGAGGAGCTGGGCATCAGGCTGATCTGAAGACCTTGGAAGCCCTTGGAGTTTATTCTACTTCTGCTCTCACATCGTTAACGGCTCAAAACACTAAAGGTGTCCAGCAAATACAGGTTGTTAATGAGGATCTTTTTGTTGCCCAAATTGATTCCGTCATCACCGACTTCAACTTATCCGTTGTGAAGCTCGGTTTAGTGCCTACTGCTAGGCAGCTGGAAATAATTGCCCAGAAGCTCGAAGCCTTACCGATGGTCGTGGACCCTGTCCTTGTGGCCACTAGTGGAGATGATTTGGTCGCCCAGAAAAACGCTGATGATGTTCTGGCCATGTATAAGGAGCGGATTTTCCCACACGCCACAATAATCACTCCAAATCTGCCAGAAGCTCAGCACATTCTTGGTAGGAAGGAGATCACTGGTGTGTATGAGGCACGAGCTGCCGCACAGGCCCTAGCTCAGTATGGGTCTATGTATGTTCTGGTTAAAGGTGGTCATGACCAGTCTGATCCTGAGGCTTGCAGGGATGTTCTCTATGACCGTGAAAAAGATAAGTTTTACGAGTTCACGAGTAAGAGGATTGCCACTATCAATACGCATGGCACTGGCTGTACTCTGGCGAGTGCTATTTCCGGCTTTATAGCCCGCGGTTACTCAGTGCCTGATGCCGTTGAGAGGGCTATTGGGTATGTCCATGAGGCAATCGTTCGTTCGTGTGGAGTCCCTCTGGGTCAGGGTACGAACCGGCCATTGGTTCATTCTATCAACAGTGTTTGGGCTAACTACTCCTAAATGATTATTTTCTTCATTCATATTAAAGCTAGTGTTGAGTTTTTTTTTCTGCCATAGTGAGAGCTCGTGTGTGAGTTGTTCATTTTTAGCTATGTCGTCTTCAGAGCTGTATAAGGTCTACGCGTGTACGAACGGCAAGTTCAGTCTCGAGTTGCCTAGAATGGTGGCTTCTGCCGTAGCTGGTGGTGCTACATGTGTTCAACTACGGTTAAAGGATGTCAGTACTGGTGACTACGTTAAGTTGGCTAAGGAGACTAAGAAGTTAATGCCTCGCCATGTCCCTCTCATTATAGACGACCGAGTGGATGTTTGTATGGCTAGTGGTGCTGATGGAGTTCATGTTGGTGACACGGATATGTCTGTTAAGGATGCTCGCTCTATTATTGGTCCTGATAAGATTCTCGGCGTCTCCACTTATGGCCGTCAAGAAGACGCTATTGCTGCCATCAGGGATGGTGCAGATTACATTGCTACTGGTGCTGTTTACCCGACAGTGACTAAACCGGGTGCGGTTGCACAGGGCTTAGGCCAGATTGATATCCTCAAGGCAGCTCTGAAGGCCACCGGGAAGACCCTACCTATTGTGGCCATCGGTGGCATTAGTCCCGTCACTGCAATTGACTGTGTTCAGAGGGGCGCTGATGGTGTCTGTGCTGTAAGCCAGATCTTTGACTCGTGGGAGTCGCCTGAGTCACGTGCCAGGAAGTTCCTCAAGTCGTACTGTTCTGGTATGGAGATAAGGTCAAAGATGAGCACACATAAGCAATACGACAGCGACATGGTGACGGGTCTGTGGGCTAAGCTGGCTGATATGAACCCCCTCACTCAATGTATAACCAATTACGTGTCGATGAACTTCATGGCTAACTCCCTCCTGGCCGCTGGAGCCTCTCCAGCAATGGCCCACGCTAAGGAAGAGGCCCCACAGTTCCTTGATATGGCTTCGGCCCTTAACGTGAATATCGGCACACTGTCTAGCAATTGGGTTGAATCGATGAGGTTGTGTGCTAAGAAGGCTAATGAGATTGGCAAGCCGTGGGTGTTGGACCCAGTAGCTGCTGGTGCCACAGCATTCAGGACAGGGGTCGCCACTGAGTTGCTCGGTTATAAGCCTACCGTATTGCGAGGAAATGGTGGAGAGATCCTTGCTTTGGCTGGGGAGACTGGCTCCGTCAAGGGTGTGGATTCAACAGTAGGCAGTGATGCAGCGTTAACAGCTGCCAAGCACATCGCGAGGAAGTTCGGCATCGTCGTGTGTATAAGCGGTGCCACTGACTTTGTAACAGACGGCAAAAGAGTTATTGAGATTTGCCATGATGTTCCTATGTTGCCTACTATTACGGCTACTGGGTGCACTCTGAGTGCTCTCATGACTTCCTTCTGTGCTGTCGCTGAGGACCCATTAGATGCTGCTGTGGCAGCTTGTGCTGGCTGGTCATTGGCTGCTCAAGAGGCCTCGGTAGCTGCGCAGGGCCCTGGGGGTTTAGCTCTGGAGTTGCTTGACACTCTACCCAAGCTTAGAGATCCTACTTGGCCAGCTTGGAAGAGGCTCGTAATCTTTGAGCATAATTGTCAATAAGTGGATAGTGTTCATTCTTCTACCCTCTAGGTTTTGGTGTGTTGTGTTTGATGGTAACTGATAATGCATTAGTAGCTATCATTGAGTTATACGGTATAATGGCAGATCATAGAGGACCAATTTCAGTATCCATGTGTGCTGCTACCGTATAGGGCATTTGTACATGCGTGCATTCTTGTGAGAAGACGCGTTAAGGCAGAGGAGCACTAGAATAACATTATTCGTGGCGTTGTGGGTTGGAGAGGATCTTCATTGTTATAGAAACGAACCAGACTTGTTTTTATGTACATATAAATACTGTACGTTACTCTCTAACATCTGCACGGTCTTGCTGCCATCATTTGCCGTGTGCACGCATGCACATTGGATTGTGAGCAGCAGCTTCTGAGAAGGCAGATCGTCGTGGGCACTGATGGGGGTAGAGTTTCCCTGACTCCACTGATTTGATACATAGTATTCCACAGCCTTTTTGGGTTACCCAATGACGATGCTTACCAAACCCAGCATCATCGTAGTCGTTATCGGCGCAGTGTTGCCCAGTCTAAGCGCCAGTATCGTTGAATTCCGTCTAGAGGAGTTGAATCGTCCTTCTGCCATTAGAGAGGCTGTCACTAAGGAAGGTGCCTAACTGATGTAAAGGTCTCCAACCCTCCTACTGACTGTTATCCTCCAGGAGGTTTCCTCGTTGCTGGAATCGACCCCAAGTTCACTAAGGCATACGAAGCTCTCGCGAGTTCATTGCCCAAGTGTTCCAAAGCTGATGCTGATCGTGTTGATACTTTAGATGATGGCACGGTCCGTACGACTTTTGCTCAACGTAGGAAAGCTCATCACAGTTCCTCGGGGGGTAGCTTCCTAGATTGTGGTCATTGAAGGTTCTCTCGTTGGAGAGGCGATGGGGTTCATGAAGAGAGGCAGTTGCTCCTCGAGTGTTGCTGGGCATATGAAAGAACTAAGCAATGTTTTGGAGATTGTTGGAAATCAAGTGGCGGGTGCATTAACTACTGTAGGTCTTCATATCTCTGGGATGGTCTTGATAGTGATATGGTGTGGCCCACCGCGAGCGCAGATTTCCATTCTCAGGCTCTCTCCGTCCACCATCATCATGTTGATCTGCCATCCGTTACGGACATCCTTGATAGAGGCCGTGAATACCACCTTGATCATCTGCATATATACCACAATATCCTCAACCACTCCACCATTGAGGTTATCCTTTGGTTCTCCTCAATATGTCTGACGACACCCTTCGTGGTTGTCCTCAGGGCTCCTTTGCCCGCACCCTCACTTGGCACACCGATCAAGGAGCCTTCTTACTGCTCATACTCCCACCAGGAGATCAGAGCTTCCACTATAAGGATCATCTAGAACGCGAGGTAATAGCTACAATGACATTCCTCGCCAAACTTGTCAAACTTAGACTATCCTCATGGTCCCGGATGATGGAGAAGTTAGAATCCTTGTTGTCATGGGCAACACTCTACGCAGCAACTTTTTTGGTCAGTTAGCGAATACCCTGATTTCATTGTGATATGTCCCTCAGGAACTACTCCGCCCGTTCGTCCCCTCCCTCATTCGGTCGTTCTTAAGAAGCATTCTCCTGAAGGCCATCGTGTCGTTGTCGGGAGGATGTTCTTGCTACCTTCCGACATAGTAGACGCGGTAAGCGGTCTCACCTACGAAGCTTGGAGTAAGCAGGCTCTGATCCCCAATCCTATGTTTGACACTGAGGAAATAATCGCTGAGAAAAGGCGTTTAGGTAAGATGTTTGCATCTCCATGTTGATGGGCATCAATTCTGTGATGATCAGGGATGAATTGTAACTCGAGCAGCATCGAATGCTGGATGAGGTGTATGGAGAATACGTGCTCCCCGAGTCAGACGGCAATATGCTATGATAGCAAAACCCATGGTATCTGCCCCAATGATGGGAAGATGCATCCTGAATGCGGTGTCAAGTGTGAGAGTTCTTCGGGGACCACTACGACTCCAACTAAGCCGTCCAATTCTGCAATGACTAGGAGGGCAGCCACCGAAGCGATGGCGGCCTTTGTGGCCCTCCTAGGCTTATCAAATATTTAATTATATTTTCTACGTGTCTACCCAGTGGGTCTTTTAGTGGCACTCAACTCGGTCGTTCAATCACGATAGCGTTCTCACTGTAGAAGAGACTACCTTACTTCCTCCTCACATGAACAAGTCATCGATTGTAAACTTCTGAGCGCTCAGTCACATCTTTTCTATCACAGCGCTGTGCCTGTTTAGTTGGTGCATAGATAGTGGATAGAAGGATCTGCTCGCATGACCCATTACATAAGGTTGCTCATAATATGTTACTCGGGTTGATATCATAATCTTTCCATGAGAGCAACTGAACTTGAGGATCCACAATATCCGACTGCTTGATTGTCAACGACAGGAGCAAGAAAAAAAATAAATTTGATGCTCGCACGGCATTAAAGTCCCCTGTGTGGAGCGGGACAGAGACGACACAAAACTAGCACTCTTGAAGGAACCAGAATGCCTGAAGATATAATGAACTCCTATGAATAGCCCCTTGTCTGTTAAAATAGAGGCATTCGACCAAGGAAGCTGATCAGTGAGTTGATTGAACTAACCATGAACATTGATTGAGCTAACAAGCAATTTGTTAGATATTTTACAGGCTCCAAACACGACAAATAATTTCGTCGGTGGTGGTTCATTCCCTGTTGAGTAATAGACATAACACAAACTGACGGCTCATGACTGCATTAGTAGACACCTGGTACTTTCCCAGAGTCCATTATTCAGTTTCTCTTTTTCTTTTATCTGAGTTATAACATGCTCCTTCTTTCGCTGCCGTTGGTCGCTGCCTCCATTGTGGGAGTATTATCATCCTCGTCCTCGATGCGTGACCATCATTTCATCAAGGTTTATGCTGAACAAAATCCTATCTCAGCTCCTGATGAGCATCTCTTTCTTTGCCCAAAGCCTTTCATAGACGAATTAGATCTAGCTGACTGGCCTAGGCATGAGGTGATCATCAATGGTTCGGAGTGTATGAATACTGAGGAGCTCCTTGCTACTGAGGACAATGCTATGTTCTTCGAATGTTTGGCCGAGACCATCAACGAAACTACGTACGCTCTGGACTCCATTGGTATTGATGCGTCTATATCTGATGGAACTCTACTGGGTTGGTATCGTCATCACAAAGGCTTTATTCCGTGGGATGTTGATGGGGATATATCTATCATGAAGAGTGATTGTCGTGAGTCTTTTGATGAATACGCCACTCCTGAGCAGAATAATATTGCTAATGTGGTGCAAGAGCTAATGCCAGGCTACGAAGTGTACGGCATCAAACTTGGTGTCGGCTCGGGTTTAGAAGAGGATGAGTGGGAAGGTTGTGAGAATGCTGAATTCCGAGTGTATCATGTGGTCAATGGTACCGCATGCCACGTTGATGTCTTCCAACAGCTACAATCTACCGACCCCGAGGAGCCTTGCAAGGCTTGCCCTGGTTATCTTGATGGTGAAGTGACGGTTTGTCGCTATCCAGAGGGTGATGTTTGTGGATATCGAGATGACTTCTTCCCAATGGCATGGGATCATATATCTTGGGCTGATTGCAAGATCCCTCACCGACCTACCCATACGCTCGAGCCTCAAGTCGGCGGCCCGCTCGAGTTCAGAAATTTGAAACCTATTCCCGGTAACTATAAGTATGGGGAGCAGATCCTGGTTGTGGGTCGACCAGTTGATGAGTCGGGAAGAGAAATCGCCCTCACTGAGGACCATCCGGCAGTTTCCATTACCACAGAGTCACGTGTGATACCGATTACACTCCCCAAGCTGAAGTCTGAGAATGGGCAAATACAACCACAACCCGACTACGACAAAAGTTTCATGAGCTACAATGAAACGTTCGAGGCGCACAAGTGGAGTGAGAGTTTCGTCTTGATAGTGTTTTTGGGTGCTCTCTGTTCCTTATTTTTAATTTGGCTCTTCTGCAACTATCGGCATCGTGCAACTATCCCTAGCCATGATGGCGAGGACGAGGTCGAAAATCGTGTTTTGATAAGTTAATGCCTCTAGTGTACGAAGTCAAGTGAAAAACTTTTCAAATTTTGATGTACGGTTTTGTTTATAGTGGGTCTATGGGCGTTAAGGCGGCTACATGTTGGCAATTTCCCGCTACAACCCAATTGGGCAGAATGTTGACATCGTGTAGGATACAAGATCCAATGGTTGATGGTTACCATTGGACAGATGTTGGTCCTGGGAGTCTTCGACGAGGAGCCCTATCCCATTCTAGGCTTAGTGGATGTGAAGCACAGTGGATGATTCATTTCGAGTATGCTTGTCGCAAAGCAATTTCAGAACTTCTCCTATAATTGGAGGCCCATTATGAAAAACACCTGTTTCCCTCCCTCGCCCTTCTCTGAACAAGATTAACGACGTAACAGTTATGGGCAATAAAAAGTCGCTCAAAGCGTTGAGTCTACCATCAATATCGGATAGGTGTAGATGATTATAATACGGAGATGAGAATACCGCGAGAAAAAGAGTTGCTCAGCACCACCTGTGCAGGCTATTGAAAAATTATGGCGAGTTGCAAAGTTCTGTGCAACTTAGATGTCCTCTCATGAGGCTAAAGCTAATCGAGGGCGATCTTCCCGCAGACCAGACGAGCGCCGGAGTTACCGGTTGCCTTCGAGGAGGCGTCACCACCCTGGCCCAGATCGTCCCGGTTAGCGTGGAGAACGACTGCACGATTGAGAGATGATGTTGGACCACTGAGCACAATCAGATCGTGGTAGAAGGAGCCTCTAGCTCTGCCATTTCCATCGGCTATGATGTTACCCATATCTCCAACGTGTCTAACTCTGGAGTTGCGATCACCATGA